GTTTTTACATGTACATTATAGGCATTACAGTTTTATCATGGTTTTGGGAGTGGTTTATCCCGCAGCAGAGCTTCCATTGATTTTTATAATTGTCATACCTGGAACATGCTTTTAGTAATTAAAATGTAAAAAGCTTAATACGAAATGCTTCCAGTATTTGTTATATACATTTGTCCTTCAATGAACCCAATGAATTCCATTTATTTGAATAAAACTCATTGATTGATAAATAAAATGCAGAATCCAATAAGGGTTGGTATGCACCATATGCATGGTAACGCCAAAAAAAATGTTATTCGAGTGAGTCCTTGGGTGTCATGACCATGAGGCACTGTTCAGTCCCAACAACTTTGACACATTGCTATTTCTCTGTATTAGCTTTTGAATCTTGTTTTGAAGAAACTGCTATTCATATAATTAAAATATCGTAAGCATACAGGAACCAGTTTTTATTTTATTTTCATTTAAAATTTTCAAAAAGTCAAGATTGTTGAACCTTGAAAAAGTCCAAAAATGCATTTGAAAATGTCTTTGTCAAATTTGCGCATATTTTACACACATTTTCCACAGTATGGTTTCCGCATTGGCGTAAAAGATGCGTAAAAATAAAAGAATCCACACATTTTCCACAGTTTTTTTCACACTCGCGGAACAACTACATAATTTGTAGGTAAGGGTTGTCCCTAGGTCATTACTTTGGAACATTTGAGATCCTCACTAAAGACCTGGTTGATGATATTTGGCTAGTAACATGCAGGCATGAAGGGCTACCAAGTTTGTTCAAATGAATAACCTTCGTCCATATCAAGGTCACAAGGGTAAACTATTTAAAAAAAACTTAGACTACTTCTTCTAAATAAAATCTGTTTAAACGACTTCTTCTGAATAACCAAAGTGCAAAAGGCGGTGATATATGACAAGTAGCATGCTCAGATGAAAAAATATCAAGTTTGTTCATGTGAATGACCTTTACACACTTTCAAGGTCACATCTTGTCAATTGTGTATACATCCTTAAAAGTCATCTTCTTAGAAAACAAAAGGTATAGGGTGGTGATATATCATATTTGGCAAATTGCATTCTGCGATGAAGGGCTATAACGTTTGTTCAATTTAATATTCTTGTTTGATTTTCAAGGTCACGGGGTTATTTTACATGTATATGACTTTGAGTCAAGACATTGCAAGTTTGCCTGAAGCTTTATTTTAGTCCACTTCTATGGTTACATGTGTGAGATTAAAACCATGTGACTGATACAGGTCCATTGTGCCTCTTGCTCCAGTTTATCATACACATAAAAACATTTTGTAAAATCAGCAAATCTGCGTCAAACATTATTTAAGAAAAAAGTCGTTTAAATTTAAAAAAAAAAAAATCACTGCCAGTATATGTGTATACCTAGCTGTGTCATCTTTCAAACCATGTTTTGATCTATGAGGCGACATAAACTTAGATCTATATGGAATTTGAAAGTAAACAGCCTTTCATTTTATCATATTAGATCTACTTTTCGGCACTTTAAGTTAAAAAATGCTATTGATGCGTTCCATGAAAAATTATCCATATAGATGAAGATATAGATAGTTAATGGCGACTCATAGATCAAAGCATGATTTGAATGATAACACAGCTAGGTACACTAGCACTTGTCGCATCAATGTCGTGTTTAAACTTAAGGTGACGGATATTAGACCTAATACGATAATTGTCAAATATTTTTTCTTAATGTGTGTTTTTCTGTGTATGATTAATTTGAGAATATGAAAGGCTGTTTACTTTCAAATCCTCCATATAGATCTAAGTTTAAATCGCCTCATAGATTAATGCATGGTTTGAATGATGACAGATACATGTAGGTATACTCATATACAGGTAGTGAAATTTTTTTTTTTTTTTTTTATCTTAAACGACTTTTTCTGAAATAAAGTATTTTCTTCAGCACTTGATTGCAATAATATCTAAATCTTACAATACGTTCTTGCTAAAAAAATCAAAAAATCAAATGACATTTGTCAACGCCATCCTGCAAATTATAGCCTATATCATAATGAATCTACTGCTCTGTGATTCAAGAATTCTTGCGCGCCCCAAGTCCGTTTATTAATTAAACATAATATTTACAATATTAGTAAAAATATCAAACGAGATATCTCCAAATATCCAACTGATTGTGACGCAGAACAACTTTTACAGTGAAAAAATCTTCATGAGTCGATGGGATTTTTTTTTTTTTACTAATTGAGCACTTATAAATTTTATACGGACTTCTGCTCAATGAATCGTTTGAGGCGGCCATTTTTAAAAGTCTTTATCATGAACATGTTTATTCCATATAATTTACTCACTCAGTATAAACGTTCAGATGACTCAATAGAACGCGCCGATTCACTCCGGTCCAAAATTAGAAACATCCGGTTTACAGCTTATTTACGAGTGACTATACGCGTTAAGCCTGCAATAAGGCTGCATTTCATGACGATGTAAGGAATTTTGAGTTGATATCAGACAGAATTTTGCTACCCGGTCCTATATAAGACATGCCATAGAGTAAATACCCGACATGTCGCATTTCGATGCGGCTATCACATATAGGGTTGTTTAAACTCTACAGTACCAAATTGCTCCGATTCGATATCTACTACGGATAAGAGTAGATCTAAAAATAAAACAAATCAATTTTGTATAGTACAGTGACAACTCCACCAATTAATTTTTCTCGGATTTCTTTATTTGATATTTCAAGCGTAACAGCTTAAAATTTAAATGGAATTATTTTATGATTTTTCAGTTCATATTTTTACATAGTATGCGATTTTATATTTGCATGATGGTATATTGCGATTCCGCTTAAGGGGTTGGGCTGTTAAGCTCTCATGACTAATCCATTTTAGCATATGTTTTATTTAAATTAAAACACAAAACTATATATGTAAATCAGGGGAATCATTTTGAAAATAGAAACTTTGTTAGAAAAAGAAAAACTAATAAAATCGTAATGGAAATGAATGCTCCACATGATTCCGATTCAGTTTACATTGATTAAGTAATTAAATGTTTTTTTTTACAAATGAATTTTTATGATCCAATAGAGGAAGTGTATAGCGGTAATTATTTCTCCCTCGACAGAATGGATGGATTTCAACCAAATCGTTGCAAAGCGTCTGTCAATTCTCTTTGTTCGTCTGACATAGAATTAAGCTATTGGGTTGTCGTCTCTTGGATAATCGAACTACTCGGTAGTAGAGCGAAAGTAAAGCCATCCAAACAAACGAACAAGTCAAAAGTCAAATTTAGGTCACTGTGACCTGTGACCTCAATTTGGCCTTTGATCGACCGTGATCTTATGTACTGAAATAATGGTTTTCGAAGCATATCGCAGCTTCTGTAGGTAGTGTTAATTCAGTTTGACAGTTGATCTTGATCTAACAATGGTTTTCAGAGCATATTTCGGCCATTGTTTCGTGAATTGGCATCACATGTTGTGTATAGGTATACGTATATGTTGAGAGAACAGGTTATCGTATCCTAAAACAAGATCACTTTGACCTCAATTTGACCTTTAACCTCGACCTAAAGTATTCATGAATTGAAAGCAAGCTTTTTATATAGGAAAAAAAGGAGATACACTATATGTTAAAAGGTATACTGTTAAACTTTGGGATTCAAGGTAGCTGCTATGGCCTTTGATTTGCTGAGACACCAACAGACAATGGTCGAATAGCGGGCTAAGTATGCATGAGGCATACAGTTCCCGTTTAGAGATTTATGAGATAATAAATAGTATACCTATTTGCTTACTATAAAGAGACAAAAAATCATCACACCAAGATAAAACTAAGGTCTGCTTCTGTCTATGGCATCATCATCTCTGGTTTCCAGGTCTAAGCAAGGAAACGGTTGAGATCTTAAATCTATGTTTGTTGGATATGAAAAAAACATTTGATACTCTCTTGCTACTGATAGATTGTGGCCCTACTGACCCATTAGGAAAAGTGGAAATACCAGCGCTATACAATACAACATTTGACAAGAAAAGCTAACACATATGCTACCCAATGGTATCAGGGTTAAGCTCCTGACCCTGGGGATGTATTACAGCGTCATCAAATTAAAATAGTTGAGATTCCAACGTCAAAACCATTGTAAAAGTTTCTTGTTTGACAGTTCTATTCAATTTCAAGGCACTTTGTTATATACATTTGATGAAGGAAGACATAATCATAAACATGTCTGCCTAGGTCGATACATATATGTTCATGAATGAATCCATTTATTCGTTTTGGTTGCTTTTGCAGACAAGGAGGGAGAATATTATAAATATTATGTTTTTGTAAGTTTGTGAAAAGGTTATTGATATACTTTTTGACATTTAGAAGAAATTGTTGGGACAAAATTGTGTGAAGAAGAAAGAGAAGAAAAAGAAAAAAAAAGTAACAAAAGCAATGTCTTTTCACCTGATGGTGAAAGCACATCTAAAAATGAAAAAAAGAAATAGAGCCCACACAAAAACGAAATGTAGCAATTTCATATCCATAAATCCATTGGAGAAAGTATAGAATTAAAGGAACAAAACAATTAAAAAACTATTCCTTTTTACTAATTTTAAAAACTGTTTAAAACATTTTCAATATCAACAACAAACGAAATGCGCAGAAAAAATGCCAGTGCCCCCCCCTCCCCTTCCGAAGAACTACCCAATACAGATTCATTGTGATTTTTTTTTAAAATTTCTTTTACACAAAGCCAAAAGCATAAAAAACCTTATTGATGATGTTAATACACTTTGATTTACTGTGTTCAGTTGTGTCTGAACGTACTCACGTAAACACGATATAATCTAATTCTGTAATATATAATGTTCACAACTTTTAAATGAAATCGAAATAGGCTTGTAGTAGGATTAAAAAAAAATATCTTAAGAAATATACACAAACATACTTAAATTAAATTAAAACAAGTACAACTGGCTTCTGTGTGTAATTCGAGTATTCATTATTTAGATGACGAATTCGAGGAAACTGTCGGTGAGAGGTTCATTGAGGAGACAAAGAACCCGGACAATATTCCCAGGGAAACATGGTCTAACAAAAGGGACTTTATCCTCGCCTGTGTGGGAATGTCAGTAGGTATTGGAAATCTCTGGAGGTTTCCTTATCTCTGCTACAAAAATGGAGGAGGTGAGTTATTTTTTAATTTGTGACAAACATCTTAAAGATAATGAAAACGTGCGGCTGTCGTTTAGGAATGTTGCATGTTTGTGTATTATGGTGGAATATCAAGAGAGGGTGAGAGAACGTTGAAATAAAAATTAACGAAGGCCACTTGCGACTTGAGTTAATTGAGATTCGAATAATATATTCTACCTAGTAAAATGTAATGAAAGTCTTTTTCATGTCTACCTATGTCATCCGCCTTTAATATGTAGTGTGAACGAGAAAATGTATTTTAATTAGACTGTTCTTTCCTGCGCGCTAATATTTGCCACGTGATGCCTTTATTGTCTTTTTGATTCATTTCACAACAAGCCTATGGGCAGTTGTCCTATTTTGCCTTTTTAACCTGGATATGTTTGGGAAAGTTTTTATATTTCCAGTTGCCATTCGGTGGACGTACGATAAACAATTAACAGTGACGTCTGACACTATGCTTTATTCTAGATGTTTATTTAATCAATCAGAACCATCTCTATCGACATCACTCGTCAAAACAGGAAACAGCATTTGACAGATTTACAAAGAATATTACAAGTCAAATTCGCGTTTAGTTCAGCGGAATATTCTGACCATGACCATGATGACCATGATTTAAGTAGATCTAGAGGTAGTATTTTTTATGTTTTTTGTCCGCTAGTTAATCTTCAAAAACTTAACTTAATAAAATAAAATTCCGGTACTCTCATTCGACTAAAGAAACCAGTCCCGCGACTCGCTTATTTTCTGGTTCATTCGCAGGAAAGTTTTTTCGAACACCGATGTTCTGGTGGAAAACAATACAGGCACACGCATGAGCTATCGTCAAAAATCCATGGTTGTTTACCCATGCAAATCGTTGTTACATCGCGAACATGGTAGAATTTGTAATATTCAACTTTTTGAAAGATGACATTTTCCCATAACAAGAAAATTGATGATCATCAAAAATAATTTTACTCTAAATTAGATGTAAGGCGTAACAGTTTTATAATTCGTAAATAAACGAACGAACGATTTTTCTAATTTAAGGTTTTTGTCTCATTTTGTCCCTTACGTTTCTGTTTAAGGTGCCTTCCTCATACATTTTTTTGACATTTCTGTTTAAGGTGCCTTCCTCATACCTTTTTTGACGTTTGTTGTGCTTGGAGGTGTACCGATGTTCATATTGGAGTTAGCCCTGGGACAGTATATGAGTCTGTCTGGCTTTAAGGCATGGAATATTTGTCCCGTATTCCGAGGTAGCCTGATTTATTGACTTATTGTGTTGCCTTTTATATTGCCATTTATTTTTGTCATCAGTATGCTATTCCTTCACAATAAACCCACTACGCGTTTCTATCCGAGCCGACAAGAGATATTAATAGAAAACATTGTTCGTAACATAAATAATGTTTTTTAATATAGCCACCCTTGCAGGTTGGGGATGGAGAAAAGTTACCCATGGCAGGTCCTCTAATGACCTTACTTGTTAAAAGGACATTAAGTAAGAACAAAGCAAACTAAAATAATAAGTAGCCGTCTGAAAAAGGCTTCGCACGCTTACCCATGACATCAATATAAGTCATTGACATTTAAAAACTTTTAAAAACAACATACTTACAGTGTTTATGGAATGTTATTACTTCAACTTTAACTACAGTTTTTCGGACAGGTTGCGGCACGGTAGCTTTAACTTACTAGCAGTGTGATTCTAAGGTTTTATTAACTTCAACATTTGTTGTATGGTTCTTTTGAATCTTGAACTGCTTTCAGTAAGAAAATCCTTCGCCATTGTTGTTTTGTTTTATTTGAATTAAACATCTGTTCTTTCAATAACCTCAACAACACATAAACAGTCTTGTGTTGTGTTCATTGATTACAGACTAAATGGTATTTATATGCAACCCCGTGATTCAAGGCATTGAGAATTAACCGTTGATAGCTTGTACTTGAAGTATTACGAAGGTATTTTACATTATTTAAGCTTTACGTGATGAAAAGACCAGAACTCGTGTTGTACAGTGAATACACTTGTGTCATATTTTTATGTGTTACTACCTGTTATATCACCCATGTGAAAACAGATTCAAACCAATAGGCACGAAGTATGCTGAAGTGAGTCATTTCATTTTTTTACTTTGCACTGATTACAACAGATACCAAGAAACGAAGACGGGAGTGTCGTGTTAGTTATCAGGTTTATGCTTGTATAGGGTTTTATGTCTTCGCAACAGCTCAATTCATAGGAACCCGGCGTAACTTTTTAAATAATTGTGTATTCGTTTGCATACAGTTTGTAAAATGCTGCAATTAAATATAAATGTATACTGAATAAATTCTGGTAGGATAAAAATAAGATATAATGCCCGACTCACGTCGTTACTATTGTAGTGTGATGACATGTAATTGTGTCGTCACGATGTTGTCCTTTTAAACTAAACCTAAAGAGCCTGGGAAGGGTCAAAGCAGCTTTTTTTAAGTCGGTTGTTAGATCTTTTTTTTCTCTCTTTATATATACTTAGACGTATTATGTTCTCACTGTCCGATAGATACACTTAAAATTATTTTATATACAGCATTGCATTATTGAAAAAATGAAAAAAATAGTTATATACCAATTTATGTATACAATACAGAAGGAAACATTTCATTGCTTTTCTAAACATGTTGGCTCAGCAGAATAGTGACAATACATTATGTGTTTTAAAATGCAGGTATTGGAATAGCAAACATCATCATAGATGTCTTTGCGAACATCTATTACATCATGGTGCTGGCGTGGGCTGCTTATTTTTTCGTGATAAGTTTGACATCAGTCTTACCTTGGTCTGATTGCAACAATGCTTGGAATACACCAAGGTATTTAATACCCGTATATAAAACCAAATTTGTTTTAATTCTGACTTCTTTTTTTTATGTTCAAATTGTTTTATTTCCCCAGCATCTTTGGGAGGGATGCCAGGGTTGAGGTACCCCGGGATCATCCCTCTTACATAATATAGCCTCTTGCCAAAGGCCTCTTTCTCTTCATTCTCTCTTTCTTTTTCATTCATTCTTTCATACTCAAACTCAAAATCATTCATTCTTTCATACGTATATTTCATTCATTACAATAACGATACTATTTATTTTGATTAAATTGATATATTAAATTACATCAACCATTCCTTCTTTATATATTCAAATATTGAAAGTATTTTTACATTTATAAATTAATTAACATGCCAAAAATTCTGCTTAACTGATTTGGGATTGCCATATTGTCCTAAAATTTAGACAAGATAAAACCGAATTCATTTATTTTGAATGATGTTGTTTTTCATGTGTAATTTGGATTAATTTAAGAAGAAATGTTTTGGGAAATAAAAAAAGAGTACAAATACTAATGTACCTAGCAATTTAGACATATATACATAAACACGAAATCATAAACAGTGTACACATTATGTATTCATAAATACATTATACACACACTCGAAATGACAAATATATTACTTGAGTCATACATATATACCACACATAATTGTACACACATACACTCGTACCTTAACACACAATTTTGACTTACTTTATCCAGATAATAATACTTCTTATATGGGTGAGCGCTCCTTTCCTTGGACTGCCAATTTGGACTGAACTGATTTTTACGTTGACTGCAGTAGGGCCGATATAGGCAAATCAGCTTTTAACGAATTTTGACGTCACGTTCGGCGTTGTCATCAATTTATGTGACATGTAACGATCTGGAAAATGTTTGTTCTATGAGGCGATTTATGTTAAAATTTCAATCATTGTAAAACAATACATCGTTATCGCAGACTCGCATATCGTGTACAAATGGAAAGCTGAGATCCAAACATGTATATATATATGAGATGACATGCTTTCGCCGTTTTTTGACGTCCCTGCAGGTCGGGGATGGAGAAAAAAATACACCTGCTTTAATCAACTGCATGAATAGTCAGAGGCAACTGATGAGTTAACCCTCTGCAGAATTTGGGATTTGCTTTTGTGTTCTGTACTTGGGGACACAAAAGCGATCAAAATAAATCTGCTGCACCATTTAAATAGTTGGGACCTTTATATATATTCTCTCTACCTCTAAAAACCTTCTATTTCTTAGCGCCTAGCATGGCAATACCTCACTTTTGGTTTTAATATGGAACGCTTGTGCAGGTGAAGAGGCAACGGATTCTGTCTCAAGGCCGGGACATACCAAAGTTTTTAAAAACGGTATTTGTTATTCCCTGCTTACCGTACAGCATTGAGGGAAATGACAACAGCTGGTTCACCAGTTGTCAGTATAATGTGACCGGGCGGAATCCTGACCTGTGTGCCTTCGACATGTTATTTCACTGAAATAGTACTGTGAAGCCTGCACCAGTACACCAACATATCCTGTCTCCAGATCACATACACACATGCACGCATACAAAACGCATACGGCGATATGTCCTTGAATGACCTCAGCTGTTAATATAATAAGACGTTAAACAAAATAAAACAAAACAAAACCACGTTCTTTGAAAAACCCGTCTATAGAATATAGCAAAAAGAACAAAATCACGACAACATAGTATATGCTACGTGCACATTTGTTATATGATATCTATTTTACTTTCTGTATCGATGCCAAGTATGACAGAGTAGATAGGGGATATATATACATATGGTTCAGATCAGTAGAACATTGTTTTTGTATTTTTATTTATCTTTCTGTGAAAATTTGAAGCAACGGTGACAGTATTTTAGAAACCATCACGAACTTCTGTGCTCTAAGAGATGTATTTGAACTTTTAATTCCTCAGAGATAGAACTTTGGATAAAGCCAATAGACATATGGCACTGACAAGGCGTGCGTCACGACTCGTTGTTAGTAACTTGTACCTTATCTCTTATACACATTTTCTGGGCCCGGGATCATGAAACGGACTTAAGTCTAAGACAAAATTTGAACTTAAGTTTGAAGTTTTGACTTAGCTAAGGTCAAAATCTTAAGTGGATCCTGAAACGTGCTAAGCAAAATCTTAGCTGAGACTGAACTTAAGTCAAAACTTATTCGTTGTCAAGCACATGCGCGCGCCGAATTGCGTATTTACGGTATCCATAGGAACTCTTCAATGCGGGAAACCACGTTGTTGTCGGTAAACATAAAAACAAAATGGAGAAAAGGAAGAGTACAGAGTACATCACTTTTAAGATTACAAGTGTGAGATTAATACCAGGTGAGCGATGCAGGCCCATTGGGCCTCTTGTTTGTAAAAAACAAGGAGCGTGTTCGGATTAGAATATCCAGAATTGAATTAAAAGATTGTTTACACCAATTCTCGCCATGATGCTTAAGTGCATTGCACTAACGTACGCCGAGTTCTGTTAGATGTCTTTCAGCTTAAAAGTGAAGTCACTTCAAACGGTTACTTACTAGCGACCTAGTTGGACGAATATATTCGTGTCTTGACGAGAAAAAATAAGTGAGAAAAGAATATTGTATTATGAATTTGAAGTCGTTAACGAAAAAAACTGTGAAATAGTTAATATAATGTCGACTAAAATATTTGGTACTTTGTTTTGTTTTACTGGTTATATTAACTGAATCAAATCATTATTTACTCATAATGTCTCAGCTGTTGGTTTGTCTCACAAATTCTTTTAAAGATTTAAGTTCACCTGGTTCAGCATTATGTTGGGCATTCGGGCATTCGGACATTCGGACTTTCAATGTTTTGTGGCTTTGGTGTATAACGTTGTTTACTGTTTGCTGGCTATGTTTTGCTATGAGTGGCGTCACACCATATTTTATTAATGTCATATCAGTATCTACTACAAAACCAAAAATTGCCTTTATTCTATGTGCACGTTCAACTCAAGAACATATAACTAGAACAATATCGCAACTCTTTTGAAAATATGTCAAGGAGTCTATGACTTACGCTCTCGATATAGTACTAAACGTGTAAGCATTGAAGTTCCAAATGCAGACACTTTTTTGTTATTTTGCTGTCGTAAAGGTAACTGTAAATTAAAACCACTAAGAAGGTTTTGAAACATAACTGATGAATATTTTAATACAAATATCACATTTGCTACTTCTTTGTCCTTATTTTACATTTATAGATGTACACCTTTCCATAAACTTGTCGAGACCAACTCGTCTGCCATTGCATCTCTGATAAACTCGAGCGTCACTGCTGAACTGCCGGTTGATCCTGCTGTCGAGTTTTGGGAGTAAGCTGTAATTCGAAAGACAATCACTGAGGATTTAATAACAATAATTCTGCATTAAATGTTAATGATTTTCGAAGTTCGAATGTGTTGTTGATGCAGTATAAATTATGTATGCATTACATTAGCTACATCTTAGACCTTTCATAATCTTGCAATCTAATATTTCTGTGCTTAATTGTATAAATAAATACTTTACAAGCTATTTAGTACATTACACTTTAATTAAAGTAATATTCATATCATAATTGTCTGCAGACGAAGAGTGCTCCAGTTGACAAAGGACATTACAGACGGTGGCGGTATAATCTGGGAGCTGGCGCTGTCCTTACTGGTGGTATGGGTGATTGTCTATTTTTGTGTGTGGAGAGGAGTCAGGTGGATGGGTAAGGTAGGTCAGTTAAATATATACAACCTTAAGTGCGGATATGTATAAAAGCGATGCTCATGAATAATTTCTAATAAGCTGTATCGTATAACTTGAAATTACCTGATTGCCATTAATGTGTGCACATAATGTGCTGACCTGGCAAATACATTTGTATCTAAAGAAAGTTTTAATATTTTTGTTGTATAGAGCCAACATTGAAATCCTTGGTTTTCCCCTACATCGCGTATAATTCTATTACGTTTTGCTAGTCGCGTTGGTGGTACTCCATGCTAGTTGACAAAAAACATACTATATTGATATTCTTTCTATGCGATCAATTATGATATTGGGAATTTACTCACTTAATGAGCTATTGTTTTGTTGTCTGTGGGCTTATAGCATTAACAGTATGTTGGATATAAATGTAGGGTAATCATTTCTCGAAGTCTGACTTTGGTCAACACGTTCGATGGACGACGAATCATAACGATCTTTATCCATCTTTGAAAAAATATATTATGTCCCTAGACCCTAGTTATGTGTTTTTACTTCCCCTAGTTTGTGCAACTTGATACTTTTGTGTGCTGAAAGGTGTAAGGTATTAGTTACGATGATTAGAAATGGTTCGTCCGTATCACGGGCTGTCTTTAAACATATTTAATGTGTCATGGTTCTCCACTACTAGAGATTTATGAATTAAACATGTATACTATTTTTATCTGATCCTACATCTCTCTCTGTGTCGCTGTCTCTCCCTTTTTGCAATGACAAATGTGATAAATTCATAGCAAAAAAACAACAAAAAAACAACAACAACCAAAGATGGATTAACTTAAGTTATTGTTGTTCCAACATTTTTATGTCTGGTATAGAATAATGTATGGCATAAACAAAACATACTGTTTTTTTCCCTTTCGTTTGTATCGTACGTTTGACTGAGATGACTCTTTACTTCTATCAACTAGGTTGTATATTTCACGGCCATATTTCCATACGTCATACTGTGTGTGCTCCTGGTGCGAGGATTGACACTAGATGGCGCAACGGACGGTATAGTGTTTTACCTAAAGCCAGACTTGTCAAGACTTGCTGATATACAGGTATGGGATGTTTTGCTTCGTTTGCAACCTTGCTTATCGCCAACGTGTTTCAATGCCATTCGATTTTCTTCTTAACGATTATTTTTGTTGCTCCGATTGGTCGTGCTACATACAATGTGGAACCATAGGTCGAATTCGGATGTGGAGTGTGTAGGCGTCCTTTGTGCCTTCTGCATTGCGCCTACGCAACACGCCAAAAAATCCACATAGGGTCTAGAATAAGTATTTTGCTTAATGTTTTTTTTTTGCCCCTCCGTTGATTTCAATTTTCTTTTGGTCAGGTGTAGACCTAAACCTTATCACAACATAAACACCCACTAAAATGTATATGAGCACTTGGTTCATTTTTCGTAGAAGCATAAAACTGAAATTCTCAAAAAGAGTTTTTTTCCCATAAGACGAATGCTGTCAAACTAATAATGCACTGAAGTATCAATTTGGATGCAACAAAATTTCAGGATCATATGCTACAGTATACATGTAAATATCTCTTACTATGGTGAGTTATCAGATATTTACAGAAAAATCAACAGCCGAAAGCCATTACAAAAAAATGTGTTCATCTTATAATAAAAGTATCTCATAACTTTTGTATACCAAAAATATATTGACTAGTTCATGAAGTACCAGTGACAGAAATATCAATCCAAAATATGTGGTGGAACATATTCAAAGAAGGGATCAAGTTAGACGCCGTATTAACAGCTGATGACATTTACAATGTTTTGCAAGAAGCAATAGTGTGAAATGTGTTTGAATGGCAGATTTGGAAAAGAAGGAAGACAAAAATGATGCGAAGCTTTGAATTTGTTTTCAAACTGGTGATTCTAGATTCACAAGAAAAAACAAATTTCAATCTTTGTCAACTTCGTAGCTCTAGGGTGCAACTTTTTTGGATTTTGAAGATTGCTATGATAGCCAAGATACTAAAGTATACTTGATGTATGAGCATACATTCCCATAGTTCTTTGACCAACTGGGCTTTATCAGTAGTAATCTATTATTGGATTATTATCATTTGGTGTCGTGCTGTGCTGAATCCAAACATTATATTTAGTCTGGCTTTTGTGTCTGGAACAAATCTGACAACGGATGAGGTCTTGAATGCTGATTCACCCATATTTCATAATCTTTACGAATTCTGACTTTGCTTTCTTGGAGAGAGCTGGTTGTTTTTAACCTCTGAGCCAAACAGTTTGTTTATGTAAGTAGAAACTTCATTTCGTGTGCGAGTTCTCTGTCTTTTCTGTCAGTTTTCAGTGATCTTTGATACATTGGTCCCCGAATCCAATTGAGACATGCAGTCACAATCTTAAGCACTTCCTCAATTATATATCTATGATGCAATTTGATATTAATCGAGTTCTAAAAAATATCTAATGTTTAAGAGGGCCATAATAAGACTCTACAATCCATCGGGATTTAGTCACTGTTCTGTCAATGCTAGCCTGTAGATCAGAGTGTTGGCTCTGACCAGTCTTAAGATATAAGTGCATTCTGGTATTAGTACCAGATGCCTCTAACATTGGTAGGACATCTCTAAAACCACGAACAACAAACTCATTGTCGTATTGCTCCGACCATGTGAGCTTGTCTATGATATTATGTGAAATGCTTGCATCATTTTGGCTTCCATAGAATGGTCAAACTGTGCCCTAGAATGTAGCCATCATGTAAAGCTATACTTATGAATTCAAGATAATTACATTCCTGGCAACCATAGGACATTCTCTGAAGCTTGTAGTCAGCACCTTTTTTAATATACATATATGTACCATCTATTAAGGCAGTCACTAAGTCTCCAAGGAATGTTTCTGAAAATACAGTATAGAGTGAAAGTACCTGTTCCCTACTCAAATGGTCAAGACCAAGGAACACTTGAACTATAGATTTATCCAATGCTTGTACTACAGAATGAAAGATTTTTAAAATACTAGACAGGAAAATACCAAAAGGAGAGGTACACCTAATTACAAGAGATACATGTATCAGTTTTCATCTTAAGCCAAAACAGTAAAAGAGCACTTTTTGCATTTTTGGAATATACTGAAGAAGAAGAAAAAAAGGGGACCAAGAACGAATGGATATTAAGAAAGTGTTCTTTTATCAACCTGTCCAAGCTTTGCAGCCAGGGTCATCCAAGAGACGAAAATTGAGAATGAAGGCTGATTGATTCTTTGATAAGATGTACGACAGTTCTAAAAGTTCATCAATTATTTCAGATGACCTACTTCATAATTGAGAATTCAAAGACTCTCTTCTTTAAAGGATAATCTGTATACAAGGGTTCTGGTCATTGCCAATCAGACAAAAACACCATAATTTGTGTGAATATTAACTGATGCCTGGCACTTTTTTTTGCAGAAGTGTGGATTTGCTTCACTTCGAAATAAAATTGTTAAAATAAAGACAACTTTTTTTATGTGAACAGGAACCGTAAAACAGGTCCTTGATTGTAAAGAGAGGAAAACTATTATTTTCATCTTCAAAATGTTCTGTTTCAGATAATCTCTTCCACATATACTTTATGTAGCACGTCGGACAAAAACTAACTTCTTCATTTAAGATACGATGGCGACATTCACCAATTCATTTACTCTTCATTATGAGATGAATATTAACAAATGAGTATGAAATATCCCCTCACAGCAATGTAAAAAGGAAAGTCTGATGATTAAATGTATAAAAAATGATAACAAAATGTATATAAACCAATTCTAAAAAGTGACAAAGATATTACATTTGAACTTAAAATTGATTGTTAACAAAAACAATTTTGAAGCAAGTTTGAATTTGGATTTTTTGTGACCTAACATTCACTGAAAGGTTTATTTTACGGTTACAACGAATTTCATTACCAATTACCTGTAATCAGGTCCATTGCTTTTTGGTGGACACCAGGAAAGTGTCTTAGGCCGTCACCTTTTTAGGTAAACGGGATACTTTGTTGTGCAAAATGAATACTTTCCACCACTTCTTTTTGGACTGAACTTTTGCATATATATTTGAAATAACACCACTTCTTCAAACTATGAAAATATTTGGTAGGCAAGAATAATAAGAATGAAAAACCCTTTATGTTACATTAAAATTTTCACAAAATGTTCGAATATTTTTAAAGCACTACATGAAAGAAAATGTTCTTTGTCAATGTTGTAATAAGGTTAAGTAATCATCTGAAAAACTAGTAGAGTGATTCAAGGTAATAACTCTAGATGTGTAAGGGATTGAAAAAAGTTAAAACAACAGCATAAATATTGTAGCACCTCTGAAACCAAAGTTATGAGGAGGCAGTCTCCTATGAAATTTTAACATAGCTGGAAATAGTGTTTTTGTATATGTTGTATTTCAGCTTTATAAACCCCTCGAATTGTTACAGATGTTCAGATCTTCTGTTTACTCAACCAAAAACACTGAAACACTACATATAAACTGCATATATCAAGCTATCCAAATAGTGAAATGTTCAATGCGGACTCTACACATGGATTTTGTTGTACAATAATATGTGTTCATACGCTGTATGACAGAATACATAATTCTGCAAAAGATGAATAATTTACCGAGGAAATTTTATAAAGTGTAACATCCAAAAATTCTCGTGAAGCAAAATTATTCATATATAGTTGTTATTCGCAGAAAAAGGGATGTCTTAGAGTATCTTGACAAAAAAACTTTGTACGCACGCCTACAACAAACCTCCCACGTAGAGATCAACGTCGTTTAAGCTGACGTTTTATGTTACATGTACCTCGTAGTTTTTTTACAGTATATAGAGTTGATACATATGCCTACTTGTTTGAGGTAGAGTTGTTTCCCTGTTCAGAACCTTATTTTCTGATTTTTTCTTATAAGCATTCACATTTCGATCACAACATATCTACATATGATTTGATTTTACAGGTTTGGATGGATGGAGGAACGCAGGTATTTTACTCATACGCCATTGCACTTAATCAAATAATTACTCTGGGGAGTTACAACAAATTTACAAACAATTTTTACAGGTAAACAACATTTATAAATTAGAAGGATTTATTTGTTTTATTCAATTATTATCAAGGTTGACATTTTGGTAGTTTGCAAATTTCAAACATTTTTGTATTAAAGAAATCAACGCGAAGAAGCAATGTTTTCACGAAAATATCCACACTGCGAATTAAATAACTACTGAAGAGTTTTGATTTAAAGACTAATATTTCGTTGGGTATCAACTGTCAATATAAAAAACAATTACGAAAAATATGTTTATTAAAGATGAAATTCAATTATCACAGCACGTGCTGTTTACATTCAGCTGTTGCTTGTATTGGTTAAGAACTGTCAAAAAGTTGTATCATGCCGTGTCGGATGAAATACCCGTGTTTTGCTGAATTAAATGCCTTTTTTATTTGATTATGGATACTTTAAATAATATTATCCTTATATTTGTTTCATCACATGTTGATAGAGACGCTATCCTAGTATCGTGTATCAACAGTGGAACCAGTTTGGTCGGGGGATTCGCCGTCTTCTCCGTGCTAGGATTCATGGCTAAACAACATAACATTCCAATAGCAGATGTGGCTAACGCTGGTAACGATCTTTTTTTAAGCCTACTGATTTTTTATCATTTGAATAGTTTTATATAGATTCATATAGTAAACAAATTCATATTACATCAGTTGAATATGATTTAATAGGACTTTTCGATTTACTACATACTGAAAAAGCCTCATTTAGAGCGTTTACTTTGAAATACTACTTTACATTCATTGAATTAAATTGATAAAATTTGAATAAAAATATGTCACTTATAACATTATATGCAAAGTTGGAAACAAATATATTAAGTGTTTCATACTTATAACAAGATTGTGACGACTGACATGCACTAAACATTCTTGAAGGATTTTGGCCATTATATTCATATTTCATATTTTACTGTTGTATGATACAGAAATACGTATAGCCGCCACACCCACGTCTCTGTCGGTGTTCATGTAACGGTCCCTCTATTTTAAAGACGTAAGTGGTCACGTGATGAGTGACGTCATAATGTAGCTTCATGCGATATCACTCTGAGTTGTACAATGTATGATGGACCGGCTGATCAATATTTTCCCAATCTTGAAAAACAAAATGTCGTTTAAAGGAATTAAGCCCATTTCAATTCAGTTGAACTGTAGTTAAAATGTGTTTACTTGGGTGATTTACCCAGATCGAAAAGTAGTGATATTAGTATGATATCAGGATTATTTTTATGAAATTTCAAATTCTTCAAAATTTCATTATTTGTAGTAATGATGTTTCTGACTTTACAAAATTGCCTAAATTTTCAACATGAAAACAATAATTTTGCATTTTATTTTACATATCTTCAGGGACATCACGAGGATTTTGTCATGAGTAGGGGCGCCTTATGATACACAATCATCTGAGATAGCAAACAAATCCAAACTGTTTATAATTCCTTTTGAATTGTATTGGAAATCACGTACCAGAACGATGTGAAATTCATATCTTTTTCGAGTGTAAATTTCGCGTTTAAATTAAGGTTATCGATGAGTGGAGACTTGTTTAACTGTTTTCTTTCATAAATAATAATTTAATGTGAAATACAATTTGTTTGAGGGGAAGTATGTGGTCCTCACTGGGGTAGTAACTTCCAAGTATTGAGAAGGGGAGTTGTTAAATTATTTTAATGATGGTTTACAAATATGTTTACATGTTCATTGAAAAGTGCAAGACAAATAGTTTCTTATGAACAGTGCACTTTTCTAATGTTTTTATACACATTAAAGATGACATACAAAATAATTTCACAAAATTCACAAAAATACATATAAGTAATTTTCAGAGAAAAAATCTTTTATATTTCACAGCCAATTCGTTCACTGTTGATATAGTTTTCTTTTTTATTTCTAGTTTCGTGTATGTCAATGTCTATTGTTACAGTGTTGTTTGGCCCTATATCACTCGCTTTATTGATGGGCCGTGAAACAATACGAAAACAAAAACAAAACATAGAAACAAAATATCTTCTTGATATGGAAAAAGGGGCCATTTTCATGTACGTTTTTCCAATTTTAGCCCAAACATCTAATGGAATTCTTTTAAGAAATATTACTTTAAATGGTAATTTTGTTTACACGTGTCCTTGACAGTGTCAGTTTGATTTTCATTAGACATACATTTGTATTACACATACACACGTAGGTCTACAGTTTAGTGGAAATTAATCAAATCTCCCATTGCGTTTACTTTCACGGGAATTATGTTCGTAAACATGGTTAAACCGAATTACATGACAGGATATATGTTCACGTGCTTCATGTGAATCAAAAACTGTTTCGTAATATTTTTTTATCTTTAGACGTTGGTATGTGCACATAGAACGTTACATGTACATTTGGTTTGAAGTAGGAATAAAGACAATTTGCTAACCGTTTTCAGAACATAATTATAAATTCCATTCCAGCAATCCGATTTTCAAAATTTGCAGCATCAATAAACTGTCTCCTACGTATTGTTGATGTTTTTGTTTTAAATACAGTGATATAAAGAGGATTGCTTCTGTTTAGCCACTGCTCTACATTAATTGTACTATCTTATCTATGTCCCTATCATATCAGAATCACTTCCCATGTCAATTTTTACTTTGGTAGCGTTTCGTCTTCTTTCTGTCTTCGGCTGAAATAGATATTCAGTGTGTAGTTGTCAAGCACCGAACTGCTACTTGTTTCTGTTAAAAAGAAAAACAAATATATGCAATGTGTAACTCATGAACACTATCTATTGCAATATGAACAGGTGATCCGAAGCTGCTTTATGACGTCACAGGTACCACGATACCGTGAACATTCTCGCAAATTACGACCGGTTACCTTTAATTGACTTTTTCTTAAAAACAGGACCCTATTGAATGATCGTGGATAGACAATTTGGCAGTTATTAAACTGTGTTACATTTTTTTACAAAAAAGAAACAAATATTGCCGGAAATCCATTGATTTTGCTTACCATTTTTCATATTTTGTTTTTTTGCACCCTAGGTCCCGGATTGGCCTTTATTTCATATCCTAATGCCGTCACCCAGATGCCAATTTCTCCTCTGTGGGCCGCACTTTTCTTTTTGATGATAATTCTTCTTGGACTTGACAGTCAAGTAAAAATATTTTTTTTATAAATCTTCGCTCATGACTACGATAACTCTTTCATAACTGCTCGCTGTTGATAAAGATATCCTAATTGCAAAACACTCCGAGTACAAATATTTATTTGCATTGAGACAAATATCACCAATTACTGTTGATCATAAATTACAATAAATTTCATGTTTTCACATTGAACTTTCTTAATTTTAAACAAAAAGAGTGTACATCATTGCAAATCATTGTATTACATTCGCTCAAGCTGTCTTGAAATTAATATTTGATATTCATAATACAATACTCGAACCTGCGTGTGTTTTCAAGCTCCAAAGCACTGATATAAAAAGTCTTTAGATAAAGATCCCATCATTCAATATTAGAAAAAAGCAATGAACATTGACGGATATTCAAACATTTAACTGGTCACAATTATTTTGTTATTATATATATGTTATATATATTATATATAATATTTGGTTGGGGGAAATGAAATATTTGAAAAAAAAAAAAAAATGTTTATAAAAGCGACCAGTTATCGGCCATATTTGAAGCAGTACTGTCCAATAATGTTATCAAAGTCTAGTTAGGATGAACGTTTTCGTCACGTGAACTGTGTTATTTGAGGTTTACCTCACCATTCGATATATCGATACAAATAATTTTGGCAACAACACATGTGGATCTGTTTTACGTATATTTTCTCTTTTACGAAACTCTCATTTTTGTTGAAGTTTGTTGGTGTTGAAACGGTTATTGCCGCGGTCATGGATATGTTTCCAAACTTGGTGCGAAGGGGGAGTCGGCGGATGTTGCTGATGGCAGTCTATTGTTTCCTGTCGTTCCTAGTGGGACTCCCATTGGTATCCAGGGTATGTTTGGTTGTCCAACGTAATCGAGTCTGAACAAATTGCAAATCCATCCTTTTCTTTTTATATGCATTCTAACTATGTGCAGCTTCACCGTCTGTTTTGTATATCCGGGTGAATAACTCTAACACTTTAAAGAGGCTATTTAGTCAAATGACAACCTGAAAATAGAGTCATCTACGTAGTTGATAATGACATGACCTCAAGCGTACGTCCAGTGTTGTCATTTTTCATCTTTTGGAAAGGCCGTGATAAAAACAGCTACGCCTAAAATAGCGTAATATCCGGGCCTTTCAGTGAGAAGTAAACTTGTACAGCACTACGCTGTAGACCGATAACACAGTGTCAGTTATGAGTCTGAGCTCATAAATAACACATTCTTGAATTTACAATGTATATCGCAAGTAAGAATTATAAGTATCATAATATATACCTCTAATCAGATATTTCTGTTAACTGGTTCGCCCGTTGTCAGTATAATGTGCCCGGGTGGGGCGTCCAGCTGGGTGTCTTCGGCAGTATGTTTCAGTGAGGTAGCACTATAAAGTCGGCACCAGTTCCGCGCTATCACAAGGAGACAAACACGAACATATCGCAGCCTCCCAAAATACACACTCATACACTACACGCATGCATCTTGCACACAGTGGAGGCCGTTCTTAAATGACCTTAGCTGTAAATAGGACGTTAAATAAAATCAAACAAACAAACAAACATTACGATTTAGAAATGAACGCACTGAGAGCCGCAGGTAGAATTTCAAACCGCAGGAAGAACGATATCAATAGGTTAAAACGCAAAATAGAACACTCATTTATAACGTTGTTTGATATGCTGTTGGAAGATGATTTTGATTCAGAATAAATGCAAGTTCTCTCCTCGGCTCGAAATACATTTTTGTTAGCTACAAATTCACCGACAACTGCCGCTAAAACGTACGGCTGCACATTTGGGGATTTCTCCATTCCTGATTAAAAACGCCAAGAAAACATTGTCTTTTGCCAATTTCCCGACATGAATTGTTCATAAGGAATATCAAACTATATAATCATGAAGAATTGTGTTGTAAAAAAATTAATTTCATCCCTTTAATACATATTTGATTCAAATTAACCAGTACCCCTATATTTTCTAACAAGCCATTCGAATTGATATGTCTCGCCTGTGCCCCGATTTGACTATCAATGCACAGATCAATGGACCATTGAGGTAGGCCGCATCCATCATTTGATGCATGGGTTGAGACGTACTACCTAAGATGAATCTATGTTCCAAGTTCGGTTGATCTAGCACTAATGCTTTAAGTGAAAGCAGCTTCAACGCAAAAACTAAATGTTGATACCGCCGCCGCGGGAAAAACAACACCTTAGAACTTCCGCTTCTTCGTGGCGGCGAAATAAAAATCATTTAAATGTCTTCAGGTGTTTAACGCAACTCCACTTCAGTTTCAACTGAAGTTTGGACCACTTTGCATTTACTCCTAGGATCACCGATAAGTCCTAAAAACAAAACAGCTGTATTGTACTGTATATGTCATGTTTGGTTTGGTTTAATTTTGTTTAACGTCCTATTAACAGCTAAGGTCATTTAAGGACGTGCCTCCATGTGTGTTGTTTATGCGTGCTTGTGTGTGTGTATGTAGGAGACAGGATATGTTGGATGTGCTTGCCTCCTTGTGATAGCGAGGATCTGATGCCGACTTTATAGTGCTATATCACTGAAATACAATGCTGAAGGCACCAAGCACAGCACTCCGCCCGGTCACATTATAGTGACAACGGATGAAACAGTTGTTGCCATTCCCCTCAATGCTGAACGTTTAGCAGGGAATAACAACTACCATTTGTAAGGACTTTGTTGGTATGTCCCGGCCTTGGGACAGAACCCATTGCATTCCTCGACTAGGCGAACGCTCACCAATAAGGCCAAAAGTGAGGTGTTGCAAAGCAAGGCGCTAGGAAATAAAAGGTAGTTAGAAGTAGAAATAAAAATAAAAATCCCAAATGTTGCAATGAGTGCAGCTGTTTTATTCTGGTCACTTTTGTGACCACAAACCGAATCCTCAATTATGCAGAGGTTTCACTCAATAGTCGCCTACTCCGATACATGCAGTGGGTAACAACAGGTGTATTCTTTTCCGATCCCCATGCGTGTGTGACTTAAGTTATCCTTTTTTGATTCGATGTATATTGTGCAGCGAATGTGTTCGATATTAATGTATTTCTTTAACCCTTTACATATTTTAAGCTATTCACTTTTGGTTTGATGTGTTTATTTTCGTGAAAGTCTCTTTTTACAGTATTGTTGGCCCTAAATGACTCATACTGTAGACGGGCCGTTAAACAATACAAAAACTGAACAAAACAAAACAAAACGAGTCTGGTAACTAAGGATTTTTTTCTGATTAGACAAAATTGTTTAAACACTAAACTTGACAGTTACAATGTAGCTTTTGTGTAAAAGACTTATTAGTAAAACAGTCTATATGTTTAAAGAATGTATCGTTGAACTTCTATATCAACCCAATATGTTTTCCAGGGTGGAATGTACATCTTCCAGCTGTTTGACTACTACGCCGCCAGTGGAATGGTCCTGTTGTGGGTAGTGTTCTGGGAGGTGGTGGCAATCGCTTGGGTATTCGGTAAATGTCCCATCTTATATTGATACCGCTCACTATCTACATATGTACAAAAGCATGTATTGTAAACTTATCTTGATTTTTTTTTTATCTTATATGACAAATCGGTATCGGTAATGGTGAATCGTATATGTGTATTAGAAAACTAATGTTTTAACAAAATCGTGACCGAAGAAAAGTTTTTTTTATGCTTTTAAGGAACCTGTATCGTGGGGTTATTCTCACAAGAAAAAAAAGGACAGATTTCGCATATCAAGAACATTTTTTCCGGATGTAAATGTAGAAACCACCTGAACTAACTAAAAACTCACATCGTTAGTATGATTATGCTTTTAGATATAAATGTTTGCTTATAAACACTTCAAATATCTAGAGATATTTTATTTATTTTGTTTGTTTGTTTGTTTGTTTGCAGAAATCATTGCCGAAAGTTCATGATCGTTTTTCGTACTGATCGAGTAAATACGAGATAAGCCAACATTTCCACAGCGTTAAAAGTGTGCAGTGACCAAATGGGCTTTAAGTGTGTCGAATTAACATTTATTGTTTTGTTCTGAAGGTGCTGATCGGTTCTATGACGCCATTGAGATGATGATAGGTTCGCGGATCAATCCGTACCTTTATTTCTGCTGGAAGTACCTGTCACCTGTATTATGTATGGTAATACAATCTTCTGTTTTTATAACAATAATACTGTTGACGTTGTTTGTATCATCAGATATATCAAGAAAAAAAACACAATTCAAATACAGTCTTTGTATGAGTGATGAGTGATTGTGTTTTGAAAACAAATAAATATCTGCCACAAGGACACCACCTTGTACAGTTTAAACAGCTATATCAATATATCACCAACTACGTTGACACTTTCAAGGGTAGCTTTAGTGTTTCCAAATCGTTTATTGTAGTTATCATTTTACAGACCAAACTATTAAAACACTTACATTTTGGGACTAACAATAATCTCCATCATCAGTACTTGTAAAGGATGGGTTAAGTTCTTTCCTGGTACCGCTGCATTATTTAAAAACACCCGTTTCTTCTTCAAGAACCAAGTTAAAGTTTAGTACGACGGTGAATGTTATTATTCTTCAAACCATATCATTTGTACCAAAACACGATAATGTTCCAGTGAATGAAGACATGACAATTGAAGTACTATTCCAATATTCTTATGATAAAACAGTATGACAAAGACTGCTCTGTCTTTCGTTCTGTTAAAATGACAGGGTTGAGTTGGTGTGTGAAGTCACTGGTAAATTTACTAATATCATCACCAAGAATCTGACTCAGATTCTCAGAATATCTACAACACTGATTTCTTAAAGTAGCGTAAAGGGGAGAAGACAATCAAAATATCGTTGATGAGATAGGTATAGTCAGCGAAAACATATTTTTTTGCAAATATGCCCATATCTGTTTAAAAGGGAAGTGACCTAAAGTCGTTTGAAGTGTCCTTGAGACATTAAACCTAGTTTTACAAATTCCATATATTCTGGGAATATGTATATCTTTAAGAGTTTTTTTCTTAATCTTTTTAGGGTCTGCTGTTGTCGCAGCTGGTTGAATTTCGGCCCCTAACGTACAACAAGACGTATGTGTATCCCGACTGGGCCCAGGCTTTCGGTATAATGCTGGCCTTGTCGTCTATGCTCTGTATCCCGGTCTACGGTCTCTTCAAGATGGCCATCACGGACGGATCACTGATTGTGGTTAAGTATATACCGTGTATTGTCAACCCTCCAGATCAACTCCCTCCTTTATATAGAGATTACTAGAAGAACGAGGTCAATTCAATAAATTTCGTCACTAGTGCCAGGAATCACATGTACATGTATGATGTATATATGGTTTGATAACTCTATAACCAATATATGTCAATCCTTCGAAGAATCCTCCTTAGCATATTTAGGAAACCGCCGGGGTTTGGGTACCCCGGGGTCAGCCACTTCACAATCATGTGTCCTCATACAAGAGGGCTCTCATACTTACTAGTAGTTGTACTATTCTTTTTTTTTAATTTTCACTGTCTTCTTTAACACGCATACTTACATTCATGTTTACATGCAAAAGTAACCTTACATTTATACATGCGTACATTTCCTTTGCCGCGCCGCCAGGTGAATTACCCCGTAGTGGGCATCACTTCGGAACAGATCGGCCTTGACATTGGCTGTGTGTTTTAATATTAACATGGTGGAAACACGCCGCGCCTGGCATATGACAATATTAAACACTAATTATATACTTGCATATAGACAATAATATGAGAAAACTGTCAATCAATATCATAACAAACTGGGCCAATATCGGATAAACTGGGCCAATATCGACGAACTGGGCCAATACGGGGTAAACTGGGCCAAATATCGATAATGCGCCAATCGAACGCATACCATATTACTCGGAACATTTCTACACTTATCGGCAATGACTATACACAGTGTCGAGACCGATAACGACCTTCACCCATATCAACGCTTCATTGACGACGGCAGACGACAACAAATCGTCGATCGGCTCTGCAAAAAATGGCGAAGACATGCTAGCGGTGTCAATGCATGACATTACCAGATTTGAAGTTTTAAGTAAGCTGAGCCAAACATTGCTTACTGATGTATTAGGCAACGACGACGGCGAAGATAATGTAAAACGTGATAACATTCCCGAAGTAGTTGCTCGTCCAACTGAACGATTCAGGATGTATCTTACAAATAAACTGACCGCTTCATCAAAGAGCAAGCGAACAAGAACACTCAATACAAAACAAAGAGTGACTTAAAGGTATTTAGAGACTGGGCCCTGGCTAATAATAAGCACATGGATCCGGCTGAGATAGCTCCATCAGAACTGGATTCCCTTTTGGCACGTTTCTTTCTCGGTAAGTCATGTATTGAACTGTTATAGTAAACTGTATGTCCTTACGACTGATTACCAATTGAAAATATAACTAAGGCTATTGTCACTTTATTCATGATGGTGTTGTGTATTTCTAAACAAATCGATAATTGTTTGTTTATTTACCACAAAAGGACTATAATGTATTACCTTGATAGGTAGTAATGACTTACTTACTGATGGTAATAAAAAACAGACATATATGAATACATATGGTGCCTACAACTAATAATTTGTAAATGAGCCAGGGGATCAATGTTTTAATTGTCTTAATTTAGATAAATACATTTGAAATCTATTTAAAAAAAATACACTTGACATTTATATATTTTATTAAGATTTAATAATTAAATCTAGTACAATGTAAACTGTACATTACATACAGAGGTTCTTCTTATCACTGTGTGGTTGAACAATGGAGTGTATTTTGGACTTCGCGGAAGACAGGACCATACAAATCTCTACTGGGGTGATGTTACTCTGAAGTATACAACTACTGATAAGGCGTACCTGGAATTCAATAGTGAGTTTCATTTTCAGGCTTAGTGAAATATTTGTCCTTTATCAATATACTAAACCCCATTACAATATAAAATATAAATGATGTGAATTTTTAAAATAGAAAATATATGATTTTTTTATGATCATTATACAATTAATACAAGTACAATCAAATATAAGAAATAAATATCTTATATAAAGTAATTACTGTTACAGAAATAAATAAAAAAAAACACGGGATGGTGCACGAAAAGGTGACTACAGAAAGGTGGACCCTGATTTTTTCACAACCAGATAATGACAACTGTCCTGTAAAAATGTACAAGCTCTATAAATCTCATCGCCCACAAGACCTCAATGTTCCTGATGCACGTTTCTACCTTCGGCCGCCTTCTGGAAATCCAAAAGCGGACAGTGCCCTTTGGTACTCCCATCAACCTGTAGGTAAAACAAGACTCGGACAAATGATGCCCCGTATGGCAGAAAAGGGTGCATTAAATGGAAGGAAGGTAAACCATTCAACACGTAAAACATTTCGAACTCTGTTGTCCAGGCTGGTGTTTGGGTCAATATGACAGACCTTGACCTTATAACAAGGCCAATATGTAATTTGCTGATTAATAACCCTATATTAGGCAGTCTAAACGTGCTTGTAAATCATTCGAGTAGGCGTTTTATGTTTTATGTTTTAATTTTCTATTGTGAAAGAGGGAGGGGGCTGATATTGGTGAAGCTGTGTTGTAAGATCAGCGTACCTGTTACTGTCAAGACGCGGAACAAGGAAAAAGGTTTAACCCCTCTCTAATTAATTGGTCTGCATACTCAATGATATCTTGTGTTTGACGAATATTATAACCGATATATTTATTTGTTAAGTAACCTTGTTGATCTATGCTAATAATAGATGATAATACTTTTTGAAGATTTGGTTTGGTTTGATTAAGTATTGTTTAACGTTCTATCAACAGCTATGGTCATTACAGGACAGCCTCCCCTGCGTGCAGGATGCATGCCTGTAGTGTATGCGTGGTGTGTGTTTTGAGAGCCTGCGATATGTTCGTGTTTGTCTCCATGTGATGGCGCGAAACTGATGCCTATTTTATAGTGCTACCTCACTGAAACATACTGCCGAAGACGCCCAACAGGATACCCCACCTGGTCACATGATACTGCCAACGGGCGAACCAGTCGTCCCACTCCTAAATCCTAAATTGCTGAGCGTTAAGTTAAGCAGGAGTAAAAACTACATTTTTTACCGACTCTGGTATGTCTTAGCAAGGGGACAGAACTCAAAGCGTTCTTCACATGGGCGAACGCAACTAAAGGCCAAAAGGTGAGGCATTGTCAAGGGAGACATTAGGAAGAAGAAAGTTGTTTAGAAAGATGAGAATATATTAGATGCCAAATTAATTATAAGTCGCCTTTTACGATCATGCAATGGGGGCGGCACTTCCCATTCTTACACCCTACAAGCAGTGACCTTTTTGAAGACGTTTTCACTTTTGCCAGTACATATGCCGTTATTTTATAATCAAAGTTTAATAATGTGATCGGTCTTCAATTTTCTAGTGATTTTGGGTTTCCTTTTTTTCATATATAAGTGTAATTGCCCCCATGTTTTTATGAAGCTGATGATTTAGTTTTTGTATAACATGCATTTAGTGATTGTTATACCACCATATAGCCTTGGTGATTTTTTTAATTTCATATATTTACAGCGCCTGTACATTCTTTTTCTGTAAGTGGATCGTTGCATAGTTTACTTGTTTGTTTATTTAGTTTATTTTCAAAAACGTTATTGCTCAAATACCCGTTTACTTTGATGGGGTCTGGAGATTGTGTGGTGTATAGGTTTTTTTATAGAAATCATGCGCCCTGTTTTTAAAACCTCTAATTCTTTTGTTATTGTTTTACCCTCAACATTCAATTTTGTTAGTCTTTTTCTTATCTGTCGTTTATTCTCTAATTGGAGAAGATATTTGGTGTTTTTATTCTCCCTTCTATATCCAATTTTCTTTCGCTTTTATTTGGGTGCCTTTCGCTTTTAAGTTTTTCTAGATCTGTTCTTTTGTTTTCCATGCTTTCCATAGCCCCATCATCACTATTTTTAGCTGTCGTTCTAGTAGGTTTAATTTATTTTTCCTTTCCAGACTTTTCTTCATGCCGAAATCAATTGACTTTTCTTTTCTAAATTGTGGATTTACATAATTCCCATTCTACTTGTATATCTAGTACACCACCGTTTATCGCATGCTGCTTTTCATTAATAACATGTTTGTCGGGTTTTTTGTGTGAAATGTGTTTTGTGAATGAAAGCTATGTCTACTTTTTGATGAAATAAATATGTGTATAAACGATTGCTTTTGTTCCTTTCTCCTAGACCTTGGATATTAAGCGACAGAATATGGACTGTGCTGTTAAGTTGGTGATTAGGGATGCATGTTGTGAGTGTGTATGGTATTTAGACTATAGACGTGTAGGTATAACCTTTTTCAATTTGCTTTACGTATACCGAGTCATACTTAATTATGCCTTGAAAATATTTTGAACTAAAGGATGTAATACTGAGATAGTTTTTTTAAATTCACTTACCAACATTTTCAAGATCAAGACAGATTGAATTATATAGCAAAATGTAGGTACAGTTGTTATTATAACTGTAAACTTACGTATCTCCTCATGTTTGTATAAACTATACCTGTATTCACATGTATATACAGGTACTTTGTTTACCTCGTACCATATTTTGAAAGCATTTAAAACATTTAACAGTATTAAAATTTCCCATACTGAGATGTTGAACCTGCGAACGTCTTTAAGATATGTGATTTCAAGTACATAATGTAATGTTGAGATTCTTTATTTTAGTATAGTTACAACTGTTTTCAAATTCAAAACTAGTTGATTTAGGAAATACAGAATTGTGAATACAATTGTGTACAAACAACATGCAATAATATTCCCATACACATACATGTACATGCATATATCTATATACACACGTTTTTGTTTCATGCAAGATTGTACAACGTGTATTATTAGTATAGCCATATTTAGTTTCCAAGTGTTCATTTTTGTGTAACTCGTTGTCATTCTCAATAGTCCATATAACGATAAACAGTTCAATAAAACCAAAAAATAAGTTAGACATGGTAGCGTATCAGGGTCGACTGCTGGTACCACTTGCCTTTCGCGTATTACCGGCGGTCGGTGGGCCTAAGCCTGACTTAACCTTTTTTTGTCGTTGTGTTTAGTTCTTCACTAGGGGTTGGTGGGGTCCGGTCTTGTCTTGACTTTTTCCAGACGCTTTGTTGAGTGTCGAGGATGGTGTCGAGACTTTCTGTGTTTTACCCGTTAAAACGCGTCGGGTTCCTGCGGACACTTTGAATTGACGACACTCTGTATGTGTATCACTATCAGGGATGAGCGCCTCATTGTCAGTGCTTTGAGAGATCGTGCCGTTGTCGAAGCTATGATCACTATCGTAGTTCCTTCCCGAGCGTTTTCATTTTCGTTTGTTTTTACCTCGTCACGGTCCTCGGCTTCTCTGGTATTGCCGTCAGACTTGGGTGCCTGAGAGGGTAATGGGCACTCTGATTGTTTATGGTTTATGGTGCATGGTGGTCAACGTCTTCGTAGACATAATACATTGCTCCTGTTGACGCTTTTCCATAGTTGTTCACATATTTACAGGTTGCGCAGAGGACGCATATACAACTTTTCTTACATATTATTAGCACGATGGTAAAAACTTGATGGGATGATTGACCCAATGCTTATTGAGTCTAGATTTAAACTACAACAATTGTAGGGAGGTGATTCCAAATATTTACAATTCTATTTTTAAAAGTATGTCCCCTAATGTTGGTCTTATACCGAATTATTTTCAGGTTTTTTGAGTTTCCCCTTGTATTGAGGTTGTCGAAGGCAGGGATGATTTGTTGGTTGGTTATATCTATGGTGTTTATCAGCTTATAGATTTCTACCATGTCAGATCTTAGTCTTCTATATTCAAGTGATGGTAGACCTAACCGACGAATACGCTCAGGGTACAAGAGATCTTTTAGGGATGGAACTAGTTTGGTTCCCCTTCTTTGAACATTCTCTAAGAAGATTCGGTCTTTTTTCAGTATAGGTGACCACGTAGTGACATTCATTTCAAGATATGAACGTACCAAAGATTTGTAAAGGTTGAGAAACATTTCTTTATTAAGACAACTGAAAGTTTTGAATATGAGACCTACGTTTCTATTAGCTTAAGATACTTCAGTGTTCACTTGCTCACTAAATTTTAGGTTTTAGTCAATAAGTACACCGAGATCTTTTTCACTTGTCACATGTCTGCCCATTCACATACCTTATTGATGTCGTTCTGGAGTGACAATCCATCCTTATTAGCTTTTGTTTGTTTGTAGAGTTTGGTCTCGTCGGCGAATATTTTGATTTTATTATCGAGTGACTCATGTAGATCTTTTATGTAGATGAGAAACAGTACTTGACCGAGCACGCTCCCCTGTGGAACTCCACTTGTGCGTGACCAATTTGGATGATGGGTACTGGTCGTTTACAACTACTTCCTGTTTCATATCATTTATAAAATCACGAATCCACTCTAGTAGTGATCCTTTTATCCCGTACCGTTCTACTTTTTCAATCATTCTTTTGTGTGGGACCTTGTCAAAGGCTTTATTGAAATCTAAGTAGATTGTATCGATTTTATTGTTTTGGTATAAAGCTTCTGTCCAGTCCTCAAGGGTTTCTAATAATTGTGTTGTGAAGGATCGACCACTTCTAAACCCGTGCTGGCTTTCAGAGATCAGATTGTTCTCGTCTAGGTGGTTGACGATGTCATCTCTTATGATCTTTTGTAAGAGTTTCCCCACAACCGACGTGAGACTAATCGGTCTGTTGTTACCTGGATTTGTTTTGCTTCCTTTTTGTTTCCATTTTGCAGGTAACGTTTGATGTTGCACAGATTTACGGAATATGATTTCAAGTGGCTTAATGAGTTCGTCAGCAGTT